TAAAGGGGCTAAATGCACAACTCGTGGTAGCTGCGAATCAAACAAAAGGAGTGCTTAGCGCGCAGTGCACACGTTCTGGTGGTTGGCAACTTCTTCGAAATTGTAGTAGATATTGCAGCAATTATCACAGACCCATCCAACTCTGGCCGGCTCGGCCCCGGCCGGGATATGGCTTGCAGTGTTGTGGAGCACAACTGCGCGTTACTGTTGGTGGTGCACATGGCTGGTAGGCAATACGGATATCGGAAACGAATTTGGAAAAAGAAATCAATAGACCACTGGAACCAGAAATAGGGAGTGGGAGGCAATGGGAAGGCTGTTTGAAGAGTAGAAGAGGAATAGCCGCCTGCTCGATGATAGAGAATTGACTAAAAAAGTGTTGGGCAGAACTGCTTTTCTCCCTGGCCGCGAATGAGCATTTATATCTGAGGAAGGAGCGGAGAGAGAAAATATTTCGCCTGGCTGCCATTCTTGCTCGTTGTTGCTGTCCTGTAGCAACCCCCCTCCCTGCCCTCCCCTCCCTGCCATCAGCCCTTTGATTTTCGAGCGGCGAACAGAGAGGAGGAGGTGCGGTCACTGGATCATGGCCCTGACTCGATGTCTCAGGGAGAGCATGACTGTCAAAGTACAATAGCCACTCCCACATCTTCAAGAGGCAGTGCGTTTCAGTTAATAGGCTTTTGTTGGCAATCCTTTGTCTGGGCTGTAGTAACGGACAGTTCTTTTTCTGTCTGATGCACATGCCTGCTCTTATCGTAATTCCTGGGTCGCGCTTCTTTGCTCACCTGGGCTGAAATGGCCAGCTGGGATTCGCTGCCAGGCCATCCAGACTTGCGAATTCGATGCCATGCGTATGTATAGCTATCACCTGTGTTTGATGTTTGGACTGTGCGCGTGCCGCTGGCAATTAGCCTGTCTTGCAAACTGGCAGGAGAATGTCGATCCAACCTGAATTTATTTTTGGTTTCCCCCAGTCATAACCATTATGCGGCTCTCTCGACTAGGCAGAGCAAAGACGAGCAATCAGCAAGTCGAAGCTGTAAACAAAAAAGAATCCCGCGATCGCCCGCCTCCTCTATGAATGCGAAATCACTGCGCGAATGCCCCCTACTCACACCTGTCTTTTTTCCTGTCCAGCCGGCGCAGGATATCGACAGGTAGTCGACTTGTGCTCTGGAGTCTGTCTGCTTCTGGCACTGACAGAATAGAAAAGTCTTGCGGAGGACCCGGTCCATTCGCAATTAAAATGTTCGCTATCCCTGCAAGAAGACTTGGGAATCCACGACTGGCTACTAGGTGCTCGTTGCTGGTGCCCACTTTCTGTCAGATTTTTTTGCCTTGCAATTTTCGGCTGTCGTTAACGTATTCGCTGTTGGCTGATGACTATATGGCCACAACAAGCTAATTCTGCCTGTGCGCAGTTGCTGCGAATCCATGTATGTTATTGCAGCGGAAAATCAAAAGCTTATTGAGAGTGAGGTCGAGCATTCGCTTTGTTGTCCCCGCGCCTCCCACATTTCGACCACACATGCACCTTCTGGGGTGTAGTGCACAATTTTTATCCACATTGGGATATCTCTCCCCATCAGCCATGTATCAGCAGACAATACTGCATGCGTAGCACCGAGTCCATTTGACACATGGCTCCTCCCCATCATCCTTTCAGACACTTCTTGCATTCGGCTCAGTCTGACATGCAAAAATGAGGGAGAGCTGAGTTATTTAAGCCATCCTCAATCGGATGAATACTTTTTCTCGGACAGCCCCCTTCGCATTTGATTCCAAAAGCAACAGATCTCTTCGACGTCCGATCCAGCGAAAGAGGGCTACAGAGGATGACAGACTTTGGCCATCAACTGTTCCCTTTTCAGGCATAGACTCTTGTGCACTTGGTCCAGCAGTAGCCTAGCTTTCACAGTAATGCAGCCCCATCGATAACGTCCATACATGTATGCTTCACCTTCCAAATTGTGCCGAGTCCAGTATGCAGCCAAGGAACGACATTGCTGAATGTCCGCACCATCTTGTGACCTCCTGGAAACTGACATGCCATTGTGTACTCCGGCCGCTATATCTTGCCTGCATGTTGCCTTCATTATTGTAGCCTTGACAGATCTAAAAAGCCTCCATGGCATGAATTACAATTGTGTCTTGTCAACCATGGGTATGTGCGGATTTGTTTGACGAAAACTGTAATCCTATTGGGCAGTGCATCTCTGCTTCTCGCGTCTCATTATCAGCATCCTCATGAAGGAGTGCCTATATATGCACCTACCCTATTTTGTGAAACCTCGACTGTGAGAACAAGTTACAGCAGGCAGGGTGTAGCGGGGTTTTCTGTTTTTAGGATTCATCAATGTACGGCACCTCCTTCTCATCCGCTGCAGATACGTGTACAGAGTGAGATTGGGGCGGTATTCCCCTCCAATACTAGGTCCACGCTGTGAGGGGATTGCAAAAGTACCCTTTCCAACTGGGCAGTCTGCGTGATAGCGGCTTGTCTTTTGGCCGCATTTTGGTAATATTGAATAGAATTCAAAAAGTTGGCTGCGATTGGTATTTTTGGCGAGTATCAGCAAAGTACGAGCTGGATAGCTCGTGCCAATATATATGAGCCAGGTATAGACATAAGTCCATGATACTATTCATCTTGATACAGAGAATTACAGTTTGCTCATACATTTCTGCGGTTGATATTTTTCAGCTGCTACACCCTGCGCCTACATCTGTAGCTGTGTCTCGCAATACAACAACCCAATAGCTCTGGTTCTTGGCGTGATCACAGTAGACAGATCATGGTTGGGAATTAAAGCTTCTCGCGTAGTGCCAAGTATGTATGTGGTGATTGTTCTCTTGCGCTCGTCCTTCCATTGTCCCACAAATACCGAGCTCTGCCGTTTTTGCCGATCGGCCCTCCCTCCTGCCATACCACATGCAAATGATGGACAACGCGCAATAAATAATGCACAAACTTCCAGGTCTGGCTTCCGTGCGGAAAGCATGGCGTATTCGGTTGCGCAAGGTCCTTCTGACACTTCCAGGTATCCTTTGTGATTGCAAGTGTGTTGTGTGCAAAAGAAGATCCAAACCACAGGCGGAACTGTGCTGCTGCTGGCTTCAATGTCTGTCTTTCAAGTAGAAAAATCTGAAAAAAATACAATATGCTCGAGGATATGGACAAGGCTGTTGTTTATTCTACCAGATGGTGGCAAAGTCTATCTACTATTTACATTAAGGAGTCTCAAGCATGCTGCCAGAGGTAGACATGCTACCTAGACTTTTACTGTAAACCACCGTGCTTGGCTGATAGTCAACCCGCTGCACGGCTGTGTCATGTTTATGTCGCGGCAAGAGACCAGCGGAACGTGGGAGTAGTTGTACATGGCTGGGGCAAAAATCGAGGGTGTATCTGGAACAATAAAAGTGCTGAGGATAGTTGTGTAAAGTCCGAGAGGTGTGAGGAATATGAAGTTGAAGAGGAAACTCTCGGTAATGGTGGCTTTTATATATCCAGGTTTTTGCTGACTCAAAGTTCATGGTCGAATGTCCACAAAGAGATGCATCCATGGGGGAGCAACGCACCAAATGGTGTTCGCGGATTCGGGGGAGGGGCAGCAAAAAATGGTGATATTTAGAAGTGCCGAAGATGCATCTCATGAAAGCACATCCGGAACACGTCAATGTATGCACGACAAGGCGTCCCCGGTTTAGGGAGAGTTCGGGACAAGCTAAAAATATGTGCCGTTTTTGTCCAACTTTGGACACGGGGATGTGGTTAGGAGCTGCAAATGCCGAGCTAGGACTTCTGATTTCCCACTGCCCATCGCTGCGGAAGGGCAGCGAGATGCGCAGCTTTGCATAGCTTTTCTGTGCGCATTTCTCTGAGCCCAAAACAAGACATCTAGCTGCCCAGTCCGCACCACTGGCTGGTTTGCGGCACAGTCGTATTCTTGAAGTCTTCATGTATGGCATTTTCCAGGTTTCCGCATACAGAAAGGTCAAAAACGTTTATTCTACTGAACCAATTGTACGCGCTCAGAACATTACATATGAGAGTACAACTACAGTGACTGAATACAATGGCGGCCGTGGCCGCTTACAAACTACGTTTCCAGAGCAAAGAAAGGGGGAGTCTGCCTCTTCCAACCCTGGATTGTTTCAGAAACCCGAACATGCGTGCTTCTTCAGTCGAAATGCCGTCTCGGGGGTGAGAGGTGACGATATCATGGTCAAGGATATTCTGGAGAGTAAATAGAGAGCCAGTGCTTGAAGAAGACATTATGGAGGAGAGCGGATGTGTACAGAGTACGCTGTGGAGAAAGCTGGATGCTGAAGGAGCGAAGGAGGGGTAGGTGCGGCCAAGGGTCCAGGCGTTGTTCTTTTATACGCCTCACCAACGATGGGTGGCGGGCTGTTATTTTTCTGATTTTCTATTTTGCGAATGTCCACCCGTGGCACTCTACCTCGCCACACTGCGAGGTTCCTCCCTGGTGGCAGACATTAGACGCCCTCTTTTTTTTTTTTTCGTCTTGAAAAAACTGTCTCTGTTCAAGAGGCGGAGCCCATGTGGTCCTGGGATGGTGTGCAAAAAAGCAAAAAAAAAAAGCGGAAGTGATGGGCACAAAGCACATCCCGAACAATCGGCACTAGGTGCACACCGCGCCTTCAGGATTGGCTTCGTGCTTAAATTAAAAGAACGTTTGTTCAGCTCTTGCTCGTCATGGATACATCCAAGAGCGACAGCAGGAGAGTTTACTGCTTGGACGAAGAGGGCCCGTGTCTGTCGCTATTCCGGAGAGTGCTGTGGCTGCTTCCCCCGAGTAAAACTAGTGCCCGCATTTAGCATGCTTGGCTAGCTGGCTAGCCATGATGCTATACATAAATTGCAGCATGTGTGAGATAGTCCAACTGCGGGAGGCACGGAGCTCCACGCTTTCCTCTCTTCTCCAATAAGACAGCACTTGCTATGAGCTCGTTGATTTCGTCCGACATCAAGTTTGAGGTTGGGCCAGGTCATGCGTATATCATGCCGCCGTGGTGATGTGTGAATAGGGTGTTCAAATCTTATCCATACAGCAGAGAACATGGAGTGGGTTCTTTACTGGAGGGCTCCGCTATGCGCTGACAAGTGATTATGTCGTGCTGCCGCTAGTAGATGACTATATTTAACTGGGTTTAAGTGTATTGATCGAGAAACGGCTTCTGCCTTGTGCAGAATACCAACAAAACCATTATCTGGATGTGTCATCGGCTGAAGTGGCATAAACGTAGTCAGCAACAGAAACGGGCATGCATTACTGAAACTTCCGATAAAGACAAAGTACAATTGTTCCAAGCCGTTTATCACTTTTGGTCCATTTCGTCCTTCTGGTCTTCCATTTGCTCGCCCATTTGCTCGTCCATTTGCTCGCCCATTTGCTCGCCCATTTGGCCATCTATATGATCGTCAGCCGTCAATTGATTCGGGGCCTCAGTCTCATCAACAGCCATTTCAGCGTCGACCTCCGCTACGTCATTCTCTTCGACATGCTTTTGGCTCATGTCATAGACAATCTTGCCCATCTCCACCATGCCCTCAACCACAGAGGCATTGCGCTTCTTTCGAAGCTCGCTTCCATACAGTTCGTCCTTGCAAACCACCAGCTTATCTCCATTCTCCAGCAGCTTCTGCATCGACTGCTGCAGCTCGAAGCACGACTCGAATACATCGCGGCGACCAAGAACATACAGGCCCAGGCGTGCACGCGACACAGCTACAGTAAACCGGCGCAGATCGCGGATGTGGCCGACCGTCTTGGTCCGCACCAGCGAGCAAATGACATAGTCTGCCTGCTGGCCCTGGAACTGGTCCACGGTAGCCACGGCCTTGGGCCGGCCAAAGTACGGCAGCCATTCGCACCGC